ATGCAAAATTGATATTGAATTTATTGTGAACCAAACTTTATATTGACTTTGTCGAATTTTTTCATACGCATTAGTTTTGATTCTTGTAATCAATTCATTTCATGTAAATTTGAAAGCTATCCTGCTTATGAATTTTCTTATAAGCAACAAATATATACAAGACCTAGGAGAGATCAGGAGGTTGGATGAAATACTTCATATTTTTATTATAAGTTTTTAATGAAGTATTTATGAACTTTTTGTTACATGACATTTTAGTCTTATTTTTGCCTGTGGAACACACTGGCAAAGTTTGAACACTAAACTTTGAAACATCCTGTATAACCCTAACCTAAATCTAACCATAGATCACAATTATTATTTTTATAATAAGATAAAATAAAAAAATTTTGGTCGAATCATTCATGGTCGAAGAGAGGGTATTATTATACCCTAAGTATAAACTCAGAGAAAAATATTTTCACAAATAGATGTCACAAAGTAAAATTGTCACTAATAATGAATATGAATAACCTAACCTATAAAATCCTATGAAAATTCTTTGTCTTAAGTAAAGACCATTTCCATTTTTATGGGAAATTTTAAAATCCAAGATTGCAGAGAATGCACATAATATGAAGAAATATATGTCAATACTGTGGACAATAATATGTCCAAAGTATAATATATTCATTATATTCTTAAACATATGAATTTTTTATATGCATATATATTATATACATTTTATACATATTTCACTGTTGAAAATAGTTTACATAAAAATCTATAGCCCATTACACTTGTCATTTATTTATGAGCGTCTCTCGTTGTTTTCTTAAAGCATGTCTTAATTGTCTTGACATAAATTTCATTGCAGTGTGTACTTGTGAAATGGTCACGATCTACGATCTCTTTTAAAGTACCGTCTATAATTGGAATTATTTACGAAGAGTCATGTATCTAATTCAATTCTATTCTTGGCTACTTTACACTCGTTAGTTCCATATCGTGTTTCTTAACGGGAATGCTGAAAGCTTCTGAAAATAAATTTTCAGTTGTGCTCAATTTCTATTATGTTTGCGTATTCAAATTAGGTATAAAATGTAGTCCTAGTTTAGATTAATAAATATTAATACCTTATAATAATTTTTCACATATCTTCACATAACTCAGCCAAGTTTTTTCGTTGATAATATCCTTTTTATGTAATATATTTGAATGTGATTGATCATTGTTAAAATTATCTTAAAATTTAGTTCGTGAAGTAGTGATTACCAACTAGTTTAGAATTATTTCATTTTTTTATTATACAATTTATTTTAAAAAATATTCATGCACATACTTTTGAGTGGAACAACTTTCTATCTTCTCTTCTTTCTATGCAAAACTTAGATATTTGTGTGTTTTTTCCTTTTCTTTAAAATGGGATTTGATTAGGATTGTCTTGGTACAGTTTCATTTTGAGCAATGCTTCCTGATAAACATAGTTTAAACTAAAGAAAAAAAACAGAGATCCTTTATATAACATGTTTATCTTCAATGATCTTTACAATTTGTCCTAAGAAGACATTATATAGATATCTATAGAAGATGCAACTTGTAGAGTTACCTTCTTAACAATAAGCATCTCTGTAAATGTTTTAATACAGTCTGCTACTGAAGAAGAAGGTCTTTTGAGTGTTTTTTGAACAATTTGAATATTAATTGTATATAATTTTTCAGCTAAATCGTTGGGCTGATTAATGTAGTTTTATATTTGCCGCTTAGACATCTTATTTCTTGTAAAAAAATTTTTATGAAAATATTTGTAGCGAAAAAAGTGCTGAATATTTTGTTGAAAATCTAATAAATATTGTATAAAAATTAAAAATCTTTAGTATTTCTTTATAGCTGAAACATCTAGCTACAGCAAGACAAAAGAAAAAACAAGTATTTTTCAAGACTTGTATAATAAAAAACTTATTACAAATTTTCTTTTTATTTCACTTTTTTGTCCAAAAAAAAAA